TCTTCTTTCTGCTTTTTCTAGCTGTCTTGCCCAATTTGTCAATCAGTGACATTGTTGCCTGTGGGTATCCACAGTAAACTACATCTATAACAAATATACTTACAATGAAGTGATGGATGATATTACAAACTGTTGTTTGGTCTCAGCTGCTTGCTGGAAATATTAGTTGAAATGTAAAAGTAAAACAACTGTGGCTATAAGAAACTAAAGGTTCCTTTGAGTTTGTTATCTCCGTAGTTCAATGTATGAGGTGAGGTGAGGTGAGGTGAGGTGAGGTGAGGTGAGGTGAGGTGAGGTGAAATTGGGTTTTACGTCGTGCTTGAGAATATTTCGCTCATATGACGACGTGCATGCGTGTGTACGGGTATGTGCAGCTGCTTGTACTAGCCCAGACTGAAGCTGGTTTTATAGTGCTAGCCCACTGAGATACCATGCCGCAGTGAAGCAAGAATACCCCACTCAGACACATTATACTGACTCCGAGCCGACCAGTCCTTGTTGTACCCATTAATGCCGAGCGCCAGGCAAGGACCAACAAGTACCATATTTTAACGTCTTTTGGTATGATGCGGTCGGGGATTGAACACGCGACCTTCCGCTCTCCAGGCGGACGCTCTAACCACTACACCACAGAGGCGGTCAGTTCAATTTATGACATAATTGAGGCAATGAAGACAAACTACTGGGATACATGTCATCTCAACAGATCAAAAATTTGTTGAGAACCTGTTAACCCACGTGCATCTCGCTTTTCGCGTTGTTCCTTCAGTTGCCAATGCGCCCTTGTAACAAACTGGGAAAACGCGCAAATAAATTATGACAGTTTCTTAAACAACTTTTTTATTTTTGTGACAAAAATTATGCAATTCTTTTTCTAGAGTTGGTCTGTTGTTTTTATTGCAGTCTGCGTTAATATAATTATTTTATGTCTATTTGTTTTTGTGTTAGATTGCAATTCATTGGTATTATTTTGTCTCAAACGGACTGTAATCCCTTAATGTAACATGTTCATTAGTCCGCCTCACAGACCCTGAAACCCCTGAAGATCCAGAACCGCCTCCGTGGTGTAGTGGTTAGAGCGTCCGCCTGGGGAGCTGAAGGTCGCGGGTTCGATCCCCGACCGCATCATACCAAAAGACCTTAAAACATGGTACTTGTTGGTCCCTGCCTGGCTCTCGGCATTAAAGGACCGGTCGGCTCGGAGTCAGTATAATGTGTCTGAGTGGGGTATCCATGCTTCACTGCGGCATGGTATCTCAGTGGGCTAGCACTATAAAACCAAGTCTGGGCTAGTACAAGCAGCCGCACATACACACACACACACATGCACGTCGTCATATGAGCGAAATATTCTCAAACACGACGTTAAATCCAATTTCACCTCACCTCACCTGAAGATCCGGGTTAGAACTGGTCTTCAGCAATCCATGCTTGTCATAAGAGGCAACTAACTGGAATGGGTGGACAGGGTCACTGACTTGGTTGACACATGTCACTGTATCCCAATTGTGTAGATTGATGCTCAAGCTGGTGATCATTGGATTGTCTGGTTCAGCCTCGATTATTTACAGACCGCCGCCATATAGCTGGAATATTGCTGAGTGCAGCGTAAAACAACCAATCAGCGAGCCTGACCACCTGATCCAGTTAGTCGCCTCTTATGACAAGCATGGCTTACTGAAGACCAATTCTACCCTGATCTTCACAGGTCTATCAACGTCAGACTTTTTATTTTTTTTATTTATTTTTTTTTTATTTGTTCCCATGGTTACAAAGTCAATAACAAGGGTATATGGTAGCAACAAGCGCAGAAAAGGTGAAGATACATTGCTGTAGAGATATAATAATAATTAGTTGCTGAATATTGGGATGAGCGAATTCCATTTAAGATTGAATTTCTCGATTTCATGATATCAATGTCAGACTTATCAACTATGAACAAAACTAATAATAAATCTTTTACTGTGTATATACTTAAAAAAAAAATGAAATACCTCTTCCATGATATGAATAAGGACTTTTGAGTCCTCTGGCAGACAATGTGATCAGTGATTCTCCTAGTGTTAACACTGGACAGGGAACTGGTGTTTCAAAAATATTGCCTGGGATATATTAATTAAACCTTAATTTCATTGTCCAGATGTGACAAGAACTCTCACTGGTATCAAACTGGCAAAATAATAAAATCAGGTCACACCGTAGGTTTCAGATCTGGCTGACTAGGGTTAGTGTTTTCATAACACTTAGTCCAGATGGGCCATAGTCTGTATCAACAAAATGCTCAAATAGTGAGATAAGTGAAATTTGTGTTAAAGTGAGATACATTGAAATGGTTTAACAAGATTTACCACTGAGAAGGTTTTACCAGTATATATGGTAAACTTTAGCCAAATAATTTCATAACAATGACGAATGCATGTGTAGAGATCAGGTTCATAGACAACAACAGAGACGGTCAGTATCTTGTCCACAACAACTACCAGTTCAGTGTGAAAGCTAGATGGAGGAATGAGACTGTCTGCTGGCGTTGTCAGCACCACAGTTTGGGATGCCCTGACACTCTCTACACAAAGAACAACATCCTGACAAAACTTCCATCCACAGAACCATCGAAGTGACAGAATGTAGGTTGAAGTGACAGAGTTCGCGAACACTCTGAAGAAGAGAAGATGTAACCCTGATTCTTACTATCAGGGTGCTGTTGTTCAAAACAACCTTAGCTCTAAGGCTACCTTAAGTCAGTGTGAAAGTATGGGTGTTACGGTCACCTTAGCGCTAAGATCGCTTTGTACAACGGCACCCTGGCCTCAGAGATCACGATTAATGTAGACTGAGGTGTGGAATGAGTGAGTAAGTTTTACGCCGCTTTTAGCAACATTCCAGCAATATCACGGCAGGGGATACCAGAAATGGGCTTCACACATTGTGCCTATGTGGGGAATCGAACCCGGGTCTTTGGCTTGACGAGCAAACGCTTTAACCACTAGGCTACCCCAACACCCCTGAGGAGTGGAGACCATCGGGGGTAGAGTGGAAGCTGCTGGTTGTTATAATAGTTGGGTTTCGCTTTCAGTATCTTCTCTCTCTACTATTGCTCATTAATAAAACGCCAGGTCAGCTTGGCCTTTCTTCAGCTTGGCCTTTCTTCAGCTAAAGGTTTATTTATTTCAACTTTATTTCCTGAGCAAAGCGACTTTATTTCAGTCAGAAATACTAGTAGCAAGCTGTTGATCACCAGATAGTCTGGTCAAGATTTGATTATTTACAAAATTGCTGCCATATAACTGGAGTATTGCTGAGTGTGGCATTAAACACCAAACAAACAAAGCAAGTACTCCACACTAAAATAATTATAAATTTATTTACAATTAGCTTGATTAGTGAAAAAATATTTTTTCATGCATAATCTTCTTTCTTCTATTGAGGTTGAATATTAGAACACATTAAAATATTGACGTGATTTCAGTTGAACAGGTTGATGTGATCCTGCCATCCCAGTTTCAATCAACTTGTCTGAATATTACATTCAGAATCACTGTAAGCTGATCTCCATCTGAACACATGTGCTTTTATAAGCTTACAAAAAAATCTTATTAAATTCAGGCACATGTACTAGTGGCTGAACTCGCCGACTGCTATTCAACTCATTTCAGACATTAATCCACATATCAATGCAAGTTTAATAACAAACATTAAAAATTATGATGCTTTCACTGTTCATTTGGATCACAATGCTGTTTCTAATTATGATATAGGCTACATTAGTTCAGCCAGCTAAACGTCGTGTTCCTACCAAGGTATGTAGGAACACGACGTTTAGCTGGCTGAACTAAGGTGAGGTGAGGTGAAATTGGGTTTAACGCCATGCTTGAGAATATTTCGCTCATATGACCACGTGCATGCGTGTGTATGTGTATGTGCAGCTGCTTGTACTAGCCCAGACTTAAGCTGGTTTTATAGTGCTAGCCCACTGAGATACCATGCCGCAGTGAAGCATGAATACCCCACTCAGACACATTATACTGACTCCGAGCCAACCAGTCCTTGTTGTACCCATTAATGCCGAACGCCAGGCAGGGACCAACAAGTACCATATTTTAACGTCTTTTGGTATGACGCGGTCGGGGATCGAACCCGCGACCTTCCGCTCTCCGGGCGGACGCTCTAACCACTACACCACGGAGGCGGTCGGCTGAACTAAGGCTACATCACATGGCTTCTGCAACATGCTTTCCTCCAACAGCAAGTTGATATGCCTTTTTAGAACTGGAACACTCTTCAAAGCAATTGGAAATCAAACTCACCATTATACCTTAAAACAGACAACAGGCTTCATAAGTAGACTGAATTTTTAGTCAGCTGGAAAGATTTTATAGATAGTGTGTTGAGCCTCAAGTTTCCACAGCGATAACATTTGGGCTGTGGCAGGTACTTGGGTACTATATCATGGATATACATATCCATAGCTGACAGTCACTGCATGGGTTTTTGAGAAAAAACAACTCAGGGTGAACTCTTCGGTGAAGACTTCGCCAAAGGTGAAAAACGTGAAAACTGTTAGTGTTGACCAGAGACCATATTTATAATAGATGGTGTTTGGTGTTGACAGATACAATGTAAAACATGATGAATAACTGGTGCATCTTTAGGGCAAGTGAACTAAAAAAACGCATACATCACGGCACAATAATTGGCGTGTAATAATGTCAAAGGATATGGTCTACTGTACCTATTCACACTATGGAATAGGACATTGATCAGCTGCCGTATTCGCCAGCTTCATAAATACGTTCGTAACAAAATTAACAGTCGTATATTAAAGAAGTTGTATCCATAGAAGTCTCCATAGAACTCTCCTCGTTGTTCAGAAATATATTTGCTATGACAGTATGTCGGCAAGTTTCAGGAAAGAACAATAACCAAACACTTCATTTACATGTGTGGTAACATCCATCACGAGAGTTTGATTCTGAAAATATATTACAGTCAACATTCCCTACCTCTGCAAAGTTCGCCATCTTCCTTCCTTCGTAACCTTTGACTGCAGTGCTGGCGACCACTGCAGTTATCTCCCTTGTCAATACTCGTAGAAAACGGAGAAAACTGCACGTCATTCGGTAGACGTTATTTAGGTTAGTCATGCTTCCCTGTTCAAAGTTCATTAGGCCGAATGTTCCAGTGACACATGCAACGAAATGATTATTACGAGTTTACATGCTCCGAGATTTATTGTCGGCGAAACTTTTGTGTGTAAACTATCTTGTGACCGCCTTCAATCTTTTAGCTGAATACAATGGGAAATTGTGACGTAACAAACAAGTGACGTCACATCAAACACAAGGACGTAATGATATTCACACATACTTGATTACATACTCGTATGCTTTCGGGATTTATTTTACAAAACGGGAACTCACCAATTAGATAGCTAATATTTTGATGTCCCAATTATACCACAAGCGATGATGGCAGCCAACACATAATGATTCAGAGTAGAACTCGTCTTCAGCAACACCTTAGTCTGTCATACAGACCCGTAAGTAAATATTTCCAAATACATCCCACGCAAGTCTAGAAAATGTGGCAAGTCTAGATTTCGACAGCTTCTGAAAATGAAGAAAATCTCATGGCACCTTTTCATTATATTGTATCTTTTTCACTTTGAGCTTTTTTTCCCCTGTAAAATATGTTCATTTCAGAGACTAGTTGTTGGTCTAGCAAAATCTACGTGTCAAAGGAGGCGACGAACGGGATCGGGTGGTCAGGTTCGGTTATTTGGTGGATGTATCACGTCATCGGGGACAAATAACGTATATCGATTCTCTTGGTGTCAACCAATGGATTGTGCGGTCCAGACGCGATTATTCACAGACCATCCTAATTTTGCTTTGATATTGTTGAGCGAGGCGAATATGACAACGTCCTGCCTATGATACTATGATCTGTCACACATTCCCTGATGCTAATGCCCTAAATGAAGCAAGTCTAGATTTCCCCAGGTTCTGAATCTCTGGTCTCCCGGGAGGGGGGGGGTGTGTGTGACCTTTTCAATTTAAATGGGTTTATTTGTTACAATCAAAATTAAACATATTCATCAGAGAACCTTGTTACAAACACAACTGATATACTGCTATATATAGGCGTGTATGCTGACGTTCTGACGGAGTGTGACCAGATCAAAGCGCACGTATAATCCCTTTTTTTCTTGCTCATTGAGAGTGAGGTATTCGCAAAACACCAAAACATATCTGCTTGTGGAGTGTGTCGTGATACACTCGCCTCGGTTGGTATTCTATTGTTTGAATGTGAATATAAACAATCATATTAATAGTATAAAAACCCACAAAACCAAAATAATTTTGAAACCCATTACAACAACGGTTGTTATGTTCCAAAAATTATGGTTTATTTATTTTTGTGATGGCAAACGTCCTTGAAGGCTAATGTATGAACACGTTTGGATTACGTCACAAACGTTATGGCACGGGTGTGGATCATGCTGGTCTGACCAGCCCGTGTCGCAGAGTGAGTGAGTGTGTTAGTTTTATTTTTACGCCGCTTTTAGCAATATTCCAGCAATATCACGACAGGGGACACCAAAAATTTGCTTCACACATTGTACGCGTGTGGGGAATCGAACCTGGGTCTTCGGCGTGACGAGCGAACGCTTTAACCACTAGGCTACGCCGCCCAAATGTCGTTAATGATAGAAAGCGTGTCACTATAATATAATATAGTTAGTTTCATACCATTTTGTTTCAGATACACGGGCAATTCTTTCCTTTTCGCCCAAACACTTAACGTTATTACGAAGAAGTACTGAAGTGAGTTCCTTGTTGAAAAACCTTCTTATTGCCACTATGGCGTCATACATATTGTGACGTAATTAGCCTATTCGTCAACAATGTCAGGAGCAAAAGAACAGAGCGAATAGCATGAGCAGCCAGCTGTTCTTGTCAGCCACCCACCTCCCCGAAGTGTGCAACATGTGAGGACAGTTCCGAGTCCAGATTAGAATTATCAGCCACATTTGATACACCCCGCCATTCAACAGAGGCTGGAGTCATTGTCATCTTGCGAACGATGGACGAACAGCAACAATGTCAGAGTAACGTAAAAAATGAATATATATAAAACCACATAAGAAAAACAATGAAATTATGCGTGTTAAATTACTTTTACAAACGGATCATATGAAACCTGACTATCAATGTTTCAAGATCAGGAAAATGAAAAGAGATTATTACATTCGTGTATATGTTAATGATTTTGCAAGACGAGTGTCCGAGTTGTAGTTCTTGAGAACAATCAAGCGTGGCGCACGTGAATATATACTGTCGAGCAAAAGAAACCATGCAATTAAAAAGTGGATTTGACAAAGGAAAAATCGCCACCAAAACACTGCAATCTCAGGTACAAAACGCAACTATAAAATACCTGTGGCAAATACATATCTGTTGACTAAATAATTCTTGTTACATTTCTAGCCACCATCAAAGGTGTGTATACTTTTTGACACCCAAGATATCTTCTGTGTATGTCGTTAATGAGTGTTGTTATGGAAAGGGAAGCTGAGAAATGGGTCGAGAAGCTTTAACATAAACAAACCCACGCCAACAACGGTAGTGTTAATATTGACTGTGACGTCACTTAGTTGGGGGCCATGATGAACGGTAACGTCATTCAGTGTGTTCGCATTACGTCACCAATGCTAAGGTGTGGGAAATGATTAGCACGCGTGTGCGTCTTACAGCGTCTTATTGACCTACATATTTTTAGCCATATGGATACTGGAAATCCATGTATAGGCGCATGTAATAAGGATTTCAACCTCTATACGTCACAACCATGAGACACAACCTTTAATCGGTCGGGCAGACACGATTGTCGACGTACATCCATCATTTGTGACACTGGATTGACTGATGTAGATCTGATTATTTACGGGGCGTCATGACAGCTGTAATATTGCTTAGTGTCGCGTTAAACAACATTCAGGAATCGGATTTTTGTTCTCTTAAATCATACAAAATATATTTGGATAAATACAATGTGCCAGTATGGCTAATATGCATATGAATATAATATAAATGTACATGTATAACTGAAACAGGGATAATACAATTTTCGCTAAACTTGACAGACTTCATAAGGGAAATAAATTTATCAATATGAGGGTTATTACAAAAAATAACAAGGGAGTATACTTTTTCTTTCAACCATAGCAGACTACGCGATTCTGATTGGTCAATCAGAGGTTTCAAATCAAAATAGCCACTCCTTTTTTGAAGGCCCTAATCAGCGCGGAAGTAAATCTGTATTTGGCTTAGTTGATATGCATTGTAAGATTTAGTTTTTTTCTTTTGTTTGGTTTTTGTTTGAAGTATCACACAGCATTATTCTAGCAATATGAAGGCAGTCTATTCAAGTTTGGACCAGACAATCCAGTGATTGGTATCATGCCACCTGACTACCCGTTCCATGAAAGTCGCCTCTTTCTTATACCCGTGAAGATCCGGATTAGAATTGGTCTCCAGCTATCCATGCTTCTCGTACATGTAAGAAGCGACTAACGGGATCGGGATGTCAGGCTTGCTGACACATGCCATTGTATCGGTAACAGCCTGGTTCAGTGGCGGAGCGTTAACGCAGCAGATCAGGCTGTGTATCGCCATTGCATTGATAGATGCTCATGCTGCTGATCACTGGCTGGCCTGGTCCAGACTCGATTATTTACAGACCGCTGCCATGTAGCTGAAGTATTGCTGAGTGCGGTGTTAAACAACAAACAAAGAATTGCTAGGGACGAATTCTACCCCCGTATTACTGTGTTCATATTATTATATGGACAGTTTTAAATTACGATATGCAGATTTGAGGCGTCTGCAATATGCGTGTGTGTGTGTGTGTGTGTGTGTGTAATATGCGTGTGTGTGTGTGTGTTGTGAATGAACCTTATAGACCTTATCATAACATGTCAGCATTTACATTTCATTCGATTTTCAGTTCAGCATCAGTGAGTCGTATTTAGTACGACTTCATTGATTCATTGTTGGTATTGTATGTGATACATAGTCTGGTCATACAAGGTACATCACACTTTTACTTTTGGAATCAGTGCCTATTCTTAGTCAAATATATCAATATACAAATTGATTATTCAAGATAAAACAAATTGCATGAAAACTGACATACATATTTCATTTTTTCAAAATTCGAAAAATAGATATGATGTAATCGATATTCTTGTGCAGTTTGCAAAATGTTAAAAATTCCGGCATTACATGTGAGTCATCACGTGAGTCACATTGCAACACATTTCCTTGAATTGGTCATATGACATAAAGCCAATTATTTGATCGAAGACATCGTGGCAGGTACATGAAAGTACAAAAGTTGTCATTTGTGAAACATAACATGTAACGTAACGATCTGGAGCTAACAGTCAGTTTGCTAATGGTTGGGAAAATAGTACAGAGACTGAATTTAGAAACCACACAGCTTATTGGTGGCTATTTTTAGAAGTGAGAGACTCGACTGGACAGTTGTGACAAATTCTCTAATGCTTCAGTCGCATATTATTTAAAGAGCAACGCATTTAAATAACTGTTAGTTATATCCACAGTATATGTTGTTATTACAACTGACAATTTAGTTCTCTGTGATATAGCAGAGAGCACGGTATTTAGGAGTTGAGACGGTTGCCCTTACGGTTCTCTTCAGCTGTCCGTGGTATAAAAGCTCCGATGGGTGTGAGCTAAAGAGGTCAAATCGTAGACGATCGTGACGAAGTGTGCTGGTGTCAAAAGCAACGACCATCGTCTGGCGTTTGTTTATATATGTAACAAGAATATATCCTTGTTTTCATCGGGGTGAGCCACTAAGACGTTCAGTGGACGCACGTTGAGGTGCAAATGACTGAATACAAGCTTGTGGTGGTTGGAGGTAAGCGCTATTTGTTACAAGCATCGTACTACGAGTTGTGGTGGAAATCCTTCTCGTAGCACACAGTGTATGGAGTCCTCTGCTCGTGCTGTAGCGTCACATATCTTTGACATTTTGGGTCACTTCGAGCAGATATGACCCCGATTTTGTGTCCTTGTGTAGAGTTAATGTGTTGGAATGTGGACTTGTTGTCTTGTTTACGTTAGCAAGTTTTGAATCTTAACCAAAATCCGTCATGTCGGTCATGGTTTGATACACAAGCATATCAACTGGTGTGTTATAATAAATGGAAAGGCATGCGTGTGGAAATTAAGTCTGTTGTATACTGTTCAGACTGGTACATGACTATCTATATATGTTGTCTGCCCTTAGTGTGCAGTCCAGCAATTTTGCTCGTACTAAACATACCCCTAGGGCTAGGATTATTTGTAATCTAAACACATTGAGAGGAGACGCAGGCGAAAGAATGTAGTGCCCTCGCATACAATGAACTGGGTTCATAACTGGAATTCCTTTTATACTTGGTTACACTCCATGTGGGTGTTTTGTTTTGATCTTGCTTAAATTGACATGCTCGCGCACCTTACATGGCCGATGAAGACCTTCTACAAAGAATTACAACATGGTAGAGAAGAAAAAAAAAATTCAGCTTTCTCAACAATTTGTGTGAAAATAGTTTTACACCAGACCTAGGTTATATTGTCAAGATGGCAATAGTAACATATTATGACTCCCTCTAAAAATATTCCATTTCAACATATTCCTTATATTTTCTCAACCATGCTATGTGCTTATAAAATAAACATCAGTTCAAGAATTTCTATTGAAAAGCTGTTTCAGCTCAAAGAGTACCGGAAACCAGTCTGTGTAAAAATAGACCTTTGAAGATCCAGGTTAGAATTGATCTTCACTAACCCATGCTTGTCGTAAGAGTTGACTAACAGGATCGGGTGGTCAGACTCGCTGACTTGGTTGACACATGTCATTGTATCCCAGTTGTGTAGATCGATGCTCATGCTGTTGATCACTGGATTGTCTGGTCCAAACTCGATTATTTACAGACTGCCACCATATAGCTGGTGTAAAACTAAACTCACTGCATAAAAATAAATGATTGCAGGATAATGTAATAAATATATAACAGAATCGATCTCATTTACATTCTGTTAAGGGTCGGTGGGTTATTTGGTTAAAGTGTCTGCTCGTCACGCCGAATGCCTGGGTTCGCATGATGATGCATGTGGCATATTTCAATGGTTAGTTCACGATTCCATAGATGATATACCTGCTTGTTGCTCTGAGACAACATCTTACATAATGTTCGAAAATAGAATTTCACAATAAAATTCTACGTGTGCCCCATATCATATACTGGTACGTGACCACACAATTCTAAATTTGTATGGTGACAGTATTTCGCAATGTACTAGATGACTCATGAGTAAACATCCGTATACCATTAATTCATCATTTTGAACACTGTAATGTGTACAAACAGCAGCATCAGGTATTCAGGACTGGGGACACGGGCGGCCATGTCATCAAGGTTAAAGTCATTAGCAGAGCAGAGTTATATCCCATGTTATATTGACCATGCCAGGAAGCTATGATTGTGGGTTCAGTGTTTCTAGGTTTGTGTGCACCATACTTGTACACAGGGGTTTGACTAAAGTGGTAGAGTGAGTGAGTGAGTTTGGTTTTACACCCTTTTACTAGCAATATTCCAGCAATATCATGATTGGAAACACCAGAAATGTACCCACGTGGGGAATTGAACCCGGGTCTTCGGGGTGATGAGTGAACGCTTTAACCACTAGGCTACCCCCCCTTAAGTGGTAGATGGTGGAGACCTGCACCAGATCAAGCCTTTCTTCCCACATCAAACTGACATGCAGTGATGTTGGTGTGTTGTTTAACACTGAACTCAGCAATATATGGCGGTGATCCGTAAATAATCGAGTTTGGACCAAAAATCCAGTGCTCAACAGCATGACATGCAGTGATGTTACTGCACTAGTGTTTAGAGTGGCGTTAACAGTAACACCCATCTCACTCACTTCATAACTGAGGTGACCCGTGAAGATCCGGGTTAGAATATTGATGTTCAGTAACCCATGCCTGTCGTAAGAGGCGACTAACGGAATCGGGTTGTCAGGCTCGCTGACTTGGTTGACACATGTCATCTGTTCCCAATTGCGCAGATCGATGCTCATGCTGTTGATCCCTGGATTGTCTGGTCCAGACTCGATTATGTACAGACCACCACCATATAGCTGGACTATTGCTGAGTGCGGCGCAAAACTAAACTCACTCTTAACTGAGGTGGCGGGGAAGCCTAGTGGTTAAACCATTCCCTCGTCATGCCAAAGACAGTTTCATTCTTCATTGGACGTGAGTTAGTGACTATGATACCTACAAAGCCATTAGGATCAGTATAAAATATTCGGCCAAATGTAGGTGTGGGGTAGCCTTGTGGTAAAAGCATTCACTCGTCACACCAAAGACCTGGGTTCGATTCCCCATGTGGGTACAATGTGTGAAGCCCATTTCTGGTGTCCCCAGCTGTCGTATTGCTGAGATATTGCCAAAATCGGCATAAAACCAGACTCAGTCACTCACTCACTTAATGACCTACGTCAAAGTGTCAAAACTGATTCTTGGAAAAGATATTTAAAGGCAGCAAACGAAGTCACTAAAGAACAGTACAGAACTATTTCATTTTGTCTGTTTCCATGTGGAGTTCATAAATGTCTCAGGCATCATATGTTGTGTAAGAACAAGTCTTGTATTAAGCAGAACAGGGTGGTGTTGTATTCCAGTAGGTAAGGTCATAACTTGATATGCTGCCGACAAGGGTTCAAATCCTCCTTTATGTTTGGTTTGTGTAGAGATCATGGAAACATGCTTCCTCTTGCATAGTATATGAAAACAAATATGCCTTTTAAGGCACAATCAGATTTTGTTCTCTGAGGGTTGCCTACAGGCATCATATTTTGTCATATCATACTTGTTTTTTTTATTCAGTTTGTTACGACATGTATTTGTTAACTGGACAAAGTTCAACTCACTGAATGATCAATATCAAATACTAGTAGTGTTGCCAAGATGCAGAAACATAAATACGTCAAGAGTACTGGGTTTCATATCAATCAGCAGGTACTATAGTCTTTGAAATAAACATATTGGCTACTTGACCCCTGATGATCTGGGGTAGAATAGGTCTTCAGCAACCCATGCTTGCCACAAAAGGCGACTATGCTTGTCGTAAGAGGCGACTAACGGGATCGGGTGGCCAGGCTCGCTGACTTCGTTGACACATGTCATTGGTTCCCAATTGCGCAGATCGATGCTCATGCTGTTGATCACTGGATTGTCTGGTCCAGCCTTGATTATTTACAGACTGTCGCCATATAGCTGGAATATTGCTGAGTGTGGCATAAAACTCAACTCACTCACTTTGAACATTTAGAAAGGAGGGTGCTTGTTAAGACGACAATGTATAAATATAAACTTGACCCAGATAGCTTGTGAAAGAAGTTAGTTGTTGATGTCTCTGAAACTTTGACAATAGTCGGTTACTGGGCAATATGCCATGACTTCAATTGCATTCTGTTGTATCTACCATTGTTGTAACATTGTAAGCAGTTTCTAATGGCAGTAGTCGTCAGTTTCCACATGTTGTCAATAATGCAGGATTAGAAATGGTATTATGTTTTACCTTTGCTCTCATGCACTTCTGACCGCCTCTGTGGTGTAGTGGTTAGAGCGTCATACCAAAAGACGTTAAAATATGGTACTTGTTGGTCCCTGCCTGGCTCTCGGCATTAATGGGTACAACAAGGACTGTTCAACTCAGAGTCAGTATAATGTGTCTGAGTGGGGTATTCATGCTTCACTGCGGCATGGTATCTCAGTGGGCTAGCACTATAAAACCAGCTTAAGTCTGGGCTAGTACAAGCAGCCGCACATACACATACACATGCATGCACGTCGTCATATGAGCGAAATATTCTCAAGCAGGACGTTAAACCCAATTTCACCTCACCTTTACAACTTGCATACCAGATCTTAATTTACTGATTGGTGAGTGAGTTGGGTTTTACACCACTTTTAACAATATTTCAGCAATATCATGGTCGGTGCCACCAGAAATGGGCTTCACTCATTGTACCCATGTGGGGAATCAAACCTGGGTGTTTGGCATGGCGAGCGAACACTTAACCTCTAGGCTACTCTGCAGCCCTTTATTTACGGCAGGCATTGCACATACAGGAATTCTGGACAGGTGCTGCGAATGATGCATAATAAAGATGGCTCTGTAAGCACTCTGTTAATTAGACATGTCCATGTGTGACTCGAACATGTTGGGGAATGGAATGGAAGATTGTTACCATGGTTATGATTCACTTGTGTATTCAAATTGAATCGTATCCCTTCATGAATTCAATTAATTTTTTGCAATCACTAGAATTGATTATTCATGAATTTTTTAAAAAGGAATGTTTTTATTTGAATTTTGGTGTTATTTATTAAATCGAGATTTGCAAACTGGAATATATTAAAGCCAGGAATGATAGTGGTGAACATTCTTATATAATTAATTTGACAGTAATGTGGATAGTGGTCGTTCTTGTGGTAAATTAACACTGTAAACAAGGTCAAACATGTGAAACAATTTATTTTGCTATTGTTTCACCAAACATAATAAATAATACTTCAACTGCAGGCATGTTATTATATTGTTACTAAATATGTTTGTATTCATTACCCAATATTCATCATTCATGATAATATTATGTATCGTAGTTGCCTCGTAGTGGAACCAACCCATGAAGATCCAGTTTAGCATTAGTCTTCAGTAACCCATGCTTGTTGTAAGAGGCGACTAACAGGATCGGGTGGCTCGCTGACTTGGTCGACACATGTCATCATATCCCAATTGGGTAGATAAATGCTCGTGCTGTTGATCACTGGCTTGTCTGGTCCAGATTTGATTATTT